TCGCACCTCCACCTCCTGCTGCGTAGGCAGATCCCCACAAAACATCGCCAAGTACTGGGTAAGGAACTCAAAGTTGGCCTCCTTCTCCACCTTTGTGCAATTGCGTGCAGGCATCAGCTGATGACGGAGAGTTTCAATGAAGTTCATATCAACCGACACTTGCCAGATATTAGTGATCGCCTGGAACTCCGTGATTGAAGTCGAGGTCACATCAACAAAACTGAAGACCTGCCATACGCTAAAAAGACAAGTGAGAAAGTAAGTTGAGGGCATTGAACAAATCACGACAATTTCCACTTCCATGATGATTTCAAACACGGTAAATTCGACAATTCCTTTGCAATGGAACCGAACATGTTTGGCAACCCATGCCAGCGAAACAGCATTTGAACCCCTTGACTTCTTTACCTCTTTCCTCCTGCTCTTTACCCAGTCACTGCTCTCACACAAGTCCTCATAGAACGCTTTCAATTGCCGGGAGCGTTCTGAGGACATTCGACTGGGCCTTCGTATCATAATGCTGTGAGCCAAGTTTCTCCAAAGGAGAAAAACACATGAGCGCCAGAGATGCTGCAATAGGCTAGCATATCAAGACTTTCGCAAAACGCTCAGAACAAAACACTGGAGGGGCTGGCACCTGGGGTACCATCCACGTCGAAATCGGAATCTCCAAGGCCACCATCATGGCTCTCTAGATGATTGCCTCACAATTTCCATCGTTCCATACCCCATGAAAAACTCTTCGGGGAAATGTTCTGTACAACACTAAGAACCCAGCACAAGAGAGCACGCTTCATTCCATCCCATTGCAAATCGGGCCATGCTCCGTTCGATCACAATCAGATGCTTTGATCCACCTGTGTGGATCTCCTGTCAAGACCCCTGGGTGTGTGTGTCATGTACATCAAGTTATCATAAGTCTGTGTGTACAGCATGAAGTCCACGAATGTCTCCGTCTTAGAGCCAGAGACCTATGGGCAGGCATCCCCATCCAGTCCTTCGGCCAATGTTTATGCATTCGTAAAGTACTAAACAAAGTTTAGTCATGGACTGTTAGGGTATATATATATAAGTGAGCCCCACTGAATTCCAATCTCCTGGTTGCTGTCAGGACATCATTGCTATTCTGGGAATGGATGAGTTGAGCCCGGGACCTCTGGGGTTGTTGAGCGAATTTTATCCCTGGGAGTGGATTTGTGTGAGGCGTCACTGTCAATCATGTTTTTTCATTGCTTGATTTGACCACAGCTCTTGTACCTTCCTTGCTGCTTCCTTTCCAAACATGTTTCAACTACAAGCTGGCTTTCAACTACAAGCCGACTCACGACTGAGGTGAAGAAGATAAGCTCACGGTGGCGCGTGCACGCAAGGCCCGGCTGGTTGAAAACCATGTTGGACGAACTGGTTGAACCTCCCCCGCCGTCCATCGAGAAAAATGAAGGCGTCCTCCACGGGACCTGGGCGATGCTGCACGGGACCTGGGCGGTTGGTGAGTGGATGTGTGTGGCGTTTTTAGACCCAACCACCATCTGAGAAAGCGGCATCTCCACCCCGGCGCCCTCTTCGGCCCGCGCCATCGTGGGTGGAACGGTCGGTCCAGGTGCAGCGCTTCTTGTCGCAGCCCTTCTTCGTGGCGGAGATCTTTACCGGCACCCCGGGCGCCTTCGTGGATTTGGAGACCACGCAGCTCGGAGGTGGAGGGGAAGTCTAGCTGCCTCCTTTATTCTCTTTATTCCTCCTCTTTGGAAAAAGGGTCAGGAGTTGGTCAAAGCCTTTTTGGGGCGATCATCGAAGAGGTCGATATTTCGACACCTTCCAGAACTGCGTGATGGGCACCTTTCTTTCCGCGTTTTCCGTTGAAAGAGCTGGGAGAGCGGCACCTCCGGAATCTGCTGCTGCTTTCACTCGGTTCAATCGAAATTTGCTTCACTCCGTCTGGTCAAACTTCCGACTTCGGTGGGGTAAACGTCCGTGGGTCCGTTCACCTCTTTGATCGCCCCAGAGATCGATCTGGCGGCGTGGATCAAGGTGGCTCGGGCAAAAGACTTGACTCATCCGGTGGATCAAGGCGGCAACTGCAGAAACTCCATCTAGTCCTAATGATTTTCAAGAATCATAATGCTGTACCTACATAGAACTCAGAAACCACCCCAATGATCCCAATGTAATTAAACATTCCATGCATGGAGTGTTTGGGTATCGGTCTAGGGGTTTTGTTATGATTGCCTTTTGAGTTTTGCCTTGATTCTCTTCTCCTCTCCGGTATGATCTGGAATTAAAGACCAGAATTCCGAACAGGAGTCCTGGCCCATCGGAAGTGGATGTCATGGCAGTGACCATCCGGTTCGACCAAGCAGGTGCACCCACAGGTCGCATTGAGGATCTTTTGCTGCAGGAGTGCACAGAATGACTCGTTGTCACTGGGATCACCTGAGAGATGACAGGCTTTTTCTCATGAACCACTGAACAAACAAGACACCCAACACTGATATTCGGACGCGTTCGGCGTAGCTTCGTGGCCTTAGCAGTCCAAGTGAATCCATGGTGAATCCCACATTTTGGTTCACCATCTAAAGAACCCCAAATGACGGGTAATGGGCACCACTGCCCTGTGGAACTCCCGGTCGATGTTTTTGACTGGAGCCATCGGCGACTTTTGCTATTCATTGGGCCGCCAACATTTTAAGGATCAACGATTTCGAGGAGGTCCTCTCGGGCAACTGCGACGATATCCCTGAGGCGGGATTGTAAAGACGCACCCAAAGACAAAACAAAGAAAAACAGCTATGTGTTGCCTTCACAAAGGGGTGCTTTCCATGGAGGTTAGGGGTGCCCATTATCCACTCACTGGATGGGACTAAACACCACCCCGTCTTGTGACTCCTGGATGTGTTGCCTTCTTTCACGTGCTTACCATGTTCTTTTTTCGACTACCCAAAGCGACTCGTACACGACGTGTGGGATGGCATGGCCCCAAGTTCGGATGAAGTCCGAAGACCAAATAGGTCGTTTTTAAGGTCGTTTTCAACGGGAGTGTAAAGTGAATATGGCTCTTCGACCTGTGAAACCAGCCCACATCGGATCTGTTTCCGTGAATGTGTATAACACAAAATTGGCGTGTGGCTGGATGTTGCACCAAGCAAACCCCCAAGCGCAACGATCAAATCGAGACATGGACATCCAAACATTAACATCCTGCCGCTGCCCAGGAACAGTGGATAACCTTCAACCTTTTCGGGGATTTGGTTTCTCCACAAAACAAGACCAGGTGGACACTAGGGTTACGCGATGAGCTGTTGTTTGAAAGCACACCGAGGGGGTCAGTACTGAAATCTTGGCCCTCCATTTCTGGAATCTTGGCCCCTCGTGTCTCATTGATATTGCTCAGGGATCAAGATGGTTCAAGTGGTGGAGAATTGGATGTTGAAGTCATATCAAGCCATGTCAATTTGTTCAGTTTGGATTTGCCATCTATTCAGTCAATCTAATCTATTAATCCGCTTGTATTTGGCCAAGCCATCTACTATTCATCTACTACGTAGTCTAACAGTAGCAGCTCTAGCAACAAACAGCTTCAACAGCTTCTTGCTTGTCCATGCCATCAAAGCATCGCAAGCAGGTGGTAGATCCAGGGCACCGAAGAATCACACCAATTCTGCACTTTTTCGCATCCTGTCCCAACAGATTCCACAGGATGAATCACATCCACAGGTCTTCGCATCTTGAAGTCACCGATTCGGCTACAATCCTGTCCCAGTTCGTCTATAGAATCCTCCGGGCCGAGCTCGGATTGGCAGGCGGCCTTCTACATGATCGGCGGCATGTCGGATGTGCGTGAGAAAGCAGCCAAGCTGGCAGCCGTTGCTGCTGGCAAGTGAGCCGGGGCGACGCGACGCGACGGATTCGGAGTAGTGGAAGGCGAAGAATGTGGCTCCGGAGAGAGGCTGGGTGAAGATCGCAGCCAGTGAATGAAGATCGCCTATGGCAATGTAGACTCATAAAACCCTCCATAACCCCCTCAATTTGGAGTGAAACACGCCTGGTTATTCATCAAGATATAATACATATAGTTACCTTAGATGATTCCTGTCAATATATTTGTGATGTTCCCTTCAGGTGACACACAGGCAGCAAACAGATTGGCCAAGACAGCATGGCTTTTTGCATGATGGCTGGTGGCAGAAAGTGCAGATTGGCAGGTTGAAGCTGCAGCACCAACGATGCAACATCAGACATCGGCCAGACTTGCGTTCATCTAACTGGTGACCCCACAGTTTAAGCTTGCACAACTGGCACGACTGTAGAGCTCACGTGAGCAATGAAGCTGATAGTGATAGACCGTGAAGCCGTAAAGCAAGTCATGTTGTGAGTCTCATTGAGTCTCCAAAGATCAGATCGTTAGTCAAGTAGTTGCAGCAACCGAGAATGACACAGAATCCTGATGCTTTCTGAAGAATGGAAATGCCATGCTCCCCAAAGATACAGTATTCTTTATTGGGAATTGAAGACGTTCAGCTCCATCACAGTATTGGGAGTATTGGATTTGTAAACATAAATCAAACAGGAGCCAGGACGAACCTGAGCCACGATCTTTTCTTGTTCAGTTCAGTAGAAGATGCCGGATTGAGTTGTTTTTGTTGGAAGAAAAGGCTGTCCAGTGGCAATCTTGTGGTACTGCCAAGTGCTACTTATGGAGGTTCGATGAAGACCAGCACAATTTGTTGGAAGTTTGCTTCCTTAAAGATTAGCATTGCACCGGAGAAAAATACATCTTTGGCATCTTTGGAACAAACTAGACTGGGGAGTTCCTTTTTCAAGTTTTCTCTTCGGTGGATTTACCAGCATATCGCAGGCACATGCAGATACTCATTCTGACTCTCAGAGGTGCGCCCACTACTCTCAGAGGTGAAAGCGAAAACATGCGATGTGTCACTGCCCATGTGCGTACTACCTACGTTGCAGTTTGGCTCCAAAATATCAGGGTACGGCCCGTGGTCATCATGCCCCTTCCACAGGCCCGTTCTTTTTTTGCACCAAACACACACGAGAAGATGTTGCCTGATGAACATCTGTCATTGGGACTCTGGTGTTTTTTTTGCGGATAGACATGACTAACATGGAGTTGGTTGGGATAAGTTCTCCAGAATCCGAAGGTCCCATTTCTTCTTGAAAGAGGATTTGAAGGGCCGTGGAAGTGGACCCTTTCTAGTGCACATGGCAGTATCTCCCTTCCAAATGATGCTTCCAAATGAGCCCTCCTCCCCAGGAGACAGTTGTTGTTTGTTTCGTGAGAGACCCGAAGACAGCATATTCCCAAGGCTTCCTTGAAGGTAAGCCAGCTGATTTTGCCAGCTGCATTGGCGAAGTTTGTGCTCACCAAATTTGTTGAACACTCTTCTCCACTCCCTGCTATCTCTTCCAAGTACAATCAGAGTTAACACCCCAGCAGTACTACAAACAATCCCAGACACTCCATGGGACTGCCATGTATGCCTACATTGACCCCCCTGGCACCACCCCAACTGATCGGCATACATGGCAGTCCCATCAGTCGTGTCTGGGAATCAAACAAACAATCCAACGGACGCCACTTTTCATGCCTGGCGTCCCTTGGATTCGGTGTCTCGTCAGCAGGAAGGTGCCCCAAAGTCAGTCGTGCCTTTGCAGCGCGGGCGCTGCCACGGCCGGAATTTCCGGGAAAAGCCCGGAGAGCATCCTCTTTCTAGACCGGGCACACCCAGGGCTTCACAGAGTTGTGCCTCAATCCTTTTCCATTTCATCTATGTATAACATTAAAATTAATACACTAAGTATACATTATATATTGTATATATATAATATATTATATATATATTATCACTAACTAATACAAACGACACCAATACGAGACGCAACCAAAAACAGGTTCTGCGTTCGCCTTTGCCGGATGCTCCCTGCGCCACCAGGCCCTCCGCCTCGGCGCCCCGCGCGGCCTCACGCGCGGCTTCGGTCGACGCTTTGTGCGGAGCCCTGGGACCGAGACGGACGCGATAGACGGTGCCCTGGGCTTCGAGCTGTCGGAGGTCCGGAGTAAACCCTCCGGGTTCTGGTCAAATGTTTCGAAAGAGATCTGGTTGGACTCAGGGTTCCTGATTTCTTGCAGAAAGGGTTCGACTACTCGCAGTTTGTATCGGTTTCTGTTTTTTTGACCAGGTTTGGATCGCATCCTTGATCCAAAGAATAGTTTTGAAATGGGTTAGCAAGTATTCAGATCACATGCTTGATGCAGAGGTCTTCTTTTCTATCTATATACTTGCATTGGGAGTCACCATAGCCAGACAACCAGCTAGGGAGTCACGAAGTCACGTTGGTCCAGCTTTCGGGGCTAGATTCAAACATATTCAAGCCGAAATGGTCACCAGGAAACACCTCTTGAAGGGTCCATATATATATATATATAGGTATGTTAATATATATATGTTTATATGGTGGTCCATATATATATATATATATTATATAGATTGGTACCATTTTCCGTAAGCTTTTAGATATAGTTAGCCTACAGGTGGCATTTTCTGAATTGGGAGGGTATAACATAGAACCGGTTTAGCCCTTTGATGAAATGATTTTCAGGGATTCAACGAGGTCTGGGGTCGACCACCCTCGTTTCAACCTGTGCCGAGCCACACGGTACCAAGATAGACCATGATAGACCAAGTTACTGAGCCTGTCAAATCCACATACCACTTTGACCATATCCCAGACACTCCATGGGACTGGAATATAAAAATATGTACAATTATATATGCGTAATTATGCATACATTGACTCTAGAAACCACGCCCATGGCAAGTATAGGTCGATATGCCAGTCCCAGACAGCTTGTGTTTGGGTACGACTCAGTCTTAGTTGTCGGATTCTCATACGGATGCTCTGGCATCCAATTGATGCTGTTGAAGGACAGGTTCCGCTCAAGATGCGCATTCCCTCCAAAGCAAGCGTCACCCATTCCATTCGCTTCGGGCCATGCTGCGTTTGTTGCCGTAGTAGACCACTTGCGCAAAACCTGGTCGTTCGGTCGTTCTGACACACCATGGCAAAACCTGAGTTTTCTTGACTCCGCAGCGCCTCATGCTCCATCGAGGCAGCTGCCGCGGCCCCTGCAGCCACCAGTGGAAAGGTCTCGCAAGTGATCGGCGCTGTGGTCGACGTGGCGGCCCCAGAGGAGTGCGAGCGAAGGTGAAGCGGCTATTTTGCTTGACTTTTCCGCGGCCCAGGATATCCAAAGTAGAAAAGTATATAGGATAGAAACGTCCAGTCATTGCGGTTTTAGAGTGAACCTACAAATTGATCGCTACTGGGTGGATCCGAATTCTTTGAAAACGATCCCAAGCCATAATTGTTCAAGGAGCATTGGCTCTTCAGCTGTGGGCAGTTGTGAGCTGGTGAACCATTTCTAGCATGTCGTTGAATGGGAAGCGTACCCGAACTACTAGGTCTTGATCCGGTCGTTTTAAGTTGAGGTCGACGCAGATACTGCAGATACATGAGTGTATCATCGCTCACCACAAGATAGAGGTCCATTCTGTCATTTGAGTCATTTCTGGAACAAATCATATCTTGACAGCACAAGAAGGATTCAGCAGCCTCCATGGAGGATTTCCATCCACATGTGTGTCACATGTCGTGTCAATTTAATTCATCTTGTGGGGTGCTAGGAGTGATGCTGGTCCCACTCTGTTGGTCCAGTCTAGTTCAAAGGGATTCAAAGGGGCCGTACTGGTGGGTGTGGGATGTGTTATACGTGGCCAACACCCATGATGGACACCCCGAACGACACAGTGGACGCCGCCACGGTCGGACTAGCCCCGTGGGCCCCGTATGCTCCGTAACCCAAGCACCATGGCGCCACGGTCGGACTAGCTAGCCTCAGTCTCAGTGGCTCCGTCCGGAGCTTTCAGGTGCAGTTCGACTCTGCCTTGCCACCCATTCTGAATGCCCTGGAGGCTGGTGCCTGCAAGAAGACTTTGCTAGTATGACCATGTTGAGATCTGGGATCTCCGCGAATTGAATCTCAACCAGGTGGTCCATCATCAGCCACTGGTCATGGCGATCTTTCATCCATGGCGATCGCCCTGTCTTTTTATTCCTTTGCTCATGACTCATCATGGGCTGCTGCCATGGGCTGGTGACTGCCCGCATCTTCCCACCCCGTTCAGGTGGAAGGCTTTGAACATCGCCTGGTTTTGGAAGTGGCGCAGCACTTAGGCCGGCGAGTCGAATGCGGTTCCCGCGAGTTAGGGTGAACAACACGGGAGGATGCTGTGTCAGAGGAGCCTTTAGAGGTTTATTGCGAGTTGATCAGATATTTTTAATGTTCATCCATATCAACATACCATACAAGTAGGATGACAAATCAATTTCCAAATGTTTACTGTAATGTTATAGAAGCAAACCATAGTGTGTATCTGGTAATATGTAAGTTTATTATGTATTCTATAAATGGATCTTGAGACTTGAGGATGGACCGCATCCGCATTTGTTGGAGAGGTTTTCAGAATCTTGGGTCTATATATAGGTTTGTTGTTGGGAAGATTGTCAACCTACTGGTGATTCTCCTGGTACCTTACTTCATTGAATTTCTATAGTCCTTCCAAGACACCCAGCTGGTGCAACACCACTGGTCAGTTTGTATGGGATCATCCCGTGATTATTGCTCTGGCCATCTCTGGCCCATGGTGGTTCCGCTCCATGGGTCGCCTCGCCTCGGGACCCCGTGCGAAGCACCCACTCCGACGAAGGCAGGTTTGATGGAATATGCCGACTCAGGTCTAACACATCACGATGGAAGTAGAGGAACACCCCCTGCTTCGTAAAGAGACCATGATGCCATCCAGTTGTATGGAACGTGACGTGAGGGATCAAAGCACCTTCTCAGAAGGTGATGTGTTCGACTGTTATGTAGAGGGTCCAATCGTACCGACTGGATCCCAAACGGGTGAGTCAGAGCGTCATACTTTGACACCTCAAACCGATATGCCGGTCAGCCGGTCTGCCGGTGTGAACACAGGCTTTGCCTCACCGGGAATGGCCAAAAAAGGGGTTTTCCTCTCCAAAAGTGCATGGATCTCCTTTCTGGGAGACTTGGGCTTCCCACTGAAGCCAGAACAGGTCGTTCCTTTTTTCGTGCGTTTGGACAGCATCGTTTGCCATCGTTTGTCCGGGGATGGATCGGCCAGGCGAAAACATGGTGCGCACCATCGCCATGGATGGTACGGACGGCCTCACCCGTGGCCAGAAGGTGCGTGGCTGGGCGTTGCAGGTCGCTTCCGGGCGTGAAAGCGAGGCCTTTGCGAGGCTTTGCATCGCTTTGCAATGTAGAATGCCAGCGGACCCAAAGTACATCCCAAAGAGTCAATATGGAACCTGGATGCCTGGATGATCCTGGTGTATTTATCCGGAAGACTGAGTTTTTTGGACAAAAACAGCATATGTTGTGTTAGTGAGGCAAGAAACCTAAAGGAGACGGCGTTGTTTAAGCAACCAAATGCATTTTTGCCCATGGATTTTGTGCAAATGTTTGCAACCCTTGAAACGGCATAGTTTCAATACGCGTATACTTTAAGTGAAAAGACTTTGTGCCGTTTCAAGATCCAAGGTATATTTCTGGAACGTATTGTTTTTTTGGTTTGTGTCGCGCGTGTGTGTGTGTGGAGTGTGATGATCCAACAAAACACTGAATTAAGCCTTAAGCTAGATGTTGTGTGTGTGTGGAGCTCGTTTGTGTGTGTATGTGCGAAGCCTAACGGCATATCAAATCGGTGTTTGAATCGGTGCGTGCCATACTTTGCCACTTATTCTTTTTGGCATTGTCTTTTGGGGTTCTCAACCATACCCACACACTCCATTGAGACTGCCATATTTGCCTGTACATCCCTTTTCAACCACCTCAATGTATGCCAGTCCCATTCGTCGTGTTTGGGCCAAGGCGGCCAAGGAGATGATCGAAACCAGACATGTGGCACGAGACGGGAGACCCGGACCGGGACTTGTCGATGACCGTGCAGCCAGCATCGCAGGTCATCGACACCGGCGCCCCCATCACCGTGCCGGTGGGAGAGCAGACGCCCGGGGGCCTGCGGGTTTAGGGTTTTGACTCATGGCCAGCACTCCGTGAAATCATGGCCAGACACTCCACATGCATATGTATGGACATTGGGTGGTTGAACAGGGGTTATATATCATCCACTCCGCTTGGTATTCGGACAACTCATGGTCATCCTTTAGGGGCTGGGCCATGCCATCCACCCACCACCCCGGTGCAGCCCACCATCTTGGTTGAGAATCACCCTCGTTATTCCAAACCACATCGGGGGATTGGATATTGGTCGAAAGCTTCTGGAGTAGGTGCACCAAACGGGTGTGATTCTACTTCCCAGGTGTTCGGACCCCGTTCGTAAAATAGGCCAGAACAAGACACACCCAAACATGGTTGCTAGTGCATTTGAACATGAAGTTCCAATATTTGAACAAGACAACCGGTACGAAGCTACCAGGGTGACGGGACCGGACACTGGACCGGTCGGAACCACCATGGTTCGTTATCTTCGTTTCGACTGTCTGGTCGGAGCACCACCCAAGATTCGAGCCCAGCAAGCACCATGGTTGCTCAACATGAACTATTACTCTCACCATCTTTCCCCGTCACTTCTGCAGGTCCAGGTCGGAATCCGACTTCCACCAGTAGGGGATCATGCATGCGGAGCGTCAAACCGGGTTGACCTCCGATGTTTGGTGGCCCACCGGTCGGTCTTTTGCCCCAAAAGAACACCAGCGCCCGACTCCATCAGCCCAGTCAGTTCGGCGGATTTGGATGACCAACAGAGGTTGAGTCAACCTGAACGTTCGGATCCTGTAGTGGTACATATGGGATGGGCTAGGATGGGCTGTTCAACCTCTGGACTGGAGGCTTGGGCGTATCATCAACATCATCGGTGAGCCGATCGATGAGTTGGGCCCCATCGAGACCAAAAAGTGCCTTGGAACGACCAGTCCATCGGCGCGCACGGGTGCCACGCATGTGCCGGACCGGGCGGTGTCGAAGGAAGGGCGGACCGCGATGACGGGAGGGGACGATGGCAGAATCCGTTGGGGCACGTGATTTGTTCGGTGTGAATAGGGTCTATGGTCCTGTCCACCACATATATCCATCATCCATCAATTCATGCGGGCTTTGCAGATATATGCAACAGTGATGAGTTCTTGCTTTTTGAGGCACACATTGGTTCAGCCAGCTAGCCAGCCAGGAAGGAGGCCTCATATGATATCCTGTCAGCATTTGTGAGGGGGGGAAAGGATTCCAAAAAGACACCCAAAGAGCTAAGTACTGCATTGGCTTCGGTCATTCTTTGAATATGTTTACATGCTCAATCATCGAAAATGAAAATGGTATATCCATACAAATCTACAAATAAAAGCGTCCAACTTGTTCACCGAAAGGAACCGCCCTGCCAAAAGATCACCCGTGAAAACCGACACTGGGAACCTGGGATCACAGAAAAAACCTTCCTCGTTTGATCTCATTCGTTGCACTGTCATGCTGAGGTTCTATGCCATCCACCGACCCACACCCACCTTCACCGAGATGAACACCACTGCTCAGCAGTTGCTCACGGGCATCAAGGCCGCTTGCTTTCCCTTGTGAGGACGGAAGAGAGAGAGGTGAGTAGCCTGATGGAAGGAAACAACGGGAAGTTAGAACCCCAGGGTATAGTCAATGGAGTAGTCAATGGATCAATGTCAATGGTATGGATCAAGCATACAGCAGTTCTAGTTCAAAGGAGCACGTCCGCAACGTGGACTTGAGCATATATGATTTGCACAACACATATTGAAATATGTATTGTATACGACATAACTATTGCCAACAATCATAATGGCCTTGGATAGTTGATAGTGGTTTCACAGAGAGTGTTCCTTGTTTCTAGCTATCCATCGTCTACATACTTAGGGTCCCAAACCCAACGCCGCAACGCCTTCCCCGGAAAGATCACCCCATCGGACCTCCAACTCTTCCGCTTTGCGGTTCCCGGACTCTCACCTTCGCAACTCAACCGGTTCGGTATATGACAGGTCACCGGTCACCTCCACCTCAGGTCACGGTTCGTTGCACTCTTCAGGTCACCGGTCACCTCCACCCTCCATCTCCGTCGGTCGGTTTCTCTTTGAGGTCGTGGACTTGTTAGCGCCCTACGCCAAGGGCGGTAAGATCGGCCTCTTCGGCGGCGCCGGCGTGGGCAAGACGGTCCGGACGTCGGAGAGCGAGGGGACGGTCTGGGTGAGAAGTGGAGATGATGCGGAGAGGTCACGAAAGGTACCTGGAGCTACCTGAGTTCTCCTTGCTTTAGCAAAAATGTATTACAATCAGGAGTTGGGATTGTGCATTGAGTTTGGTCCTGTAAGAGTTGATTCTGCTCGGCCCCCCTGGATCAAATCCCCCCTGCGCCGGTTCACGCCGTCATGGACTTCTACCAGGGTTACTTGTGATTGCCTGCTACCTTTCGTTCACCCCCTCCTCTCTCAAGTATTAATGTAGATGTCTACGGTATTGAACATCTAGGTGGGCCATTTCATGGATATCGATAGATTATGATAGATTCAGTGTAATTCAGTGATTGTATCCAGGCTTGAAGATATACACTATGTATAGTGACTGCGACAGGGATATTGTAAAACAACTTGGATTTCAGCAGAGGCGTAAAAGGTTCCCTGAAGAAGATGGCGCAGGATGCTGAGCACGGTTGAGAAGAATCACTTCATAGACTCATAGACTCACAGCTTTGGCAGAAATCTGTTCACCCTAAGGTTTGGGAACGGGGTTTGGACCCCGTGGCGGTTCATCAGGGCTCGTTTGGTGTGGAGAGTCTTCCGCCCACCAGTGGTCCAAACTTGACCCGTTCCCCTTGCCAAAGGTGGTCATCATGGAACTCATCCACAACATTGCCAGGAACTTTAGACAGCTCCGAGTTGGGACACTGTGGAACGCATTTCATCACGATGTCGATCATCAAAATATCGAGTTTTGCCTGGGGTGTGAGTGCCTTACACGACTCTGGTTATTTAATGTTATTTAGCTATCGACTATATATAGATGCGCTTCCTATTGTTGGTGGCTTAGTCAACGATTCCCAACCGCGACATCGCCGTCACTTTTTCCACCTGAGGCCCTGAAGCACGGTGGTTACAGTGTCTTCGCAGGTGTAGGCGCTACGAATCCGGATGGCGTAGGCATGTAGCATAGTCCTGGAGTCGGAGCAACGGTGATCTCTTGATTCGACCCAAACCTGATACAGGCAGTAATGATTCGTAGATACAAGAAGCAAGAGATCACCGTAGAGAGAGACATGAATGCCGCATCACTACCCATGCCTTTCTACTACCTGTATCAGATGCGTAATGAGTCGTTAGAGCTGATCTCGAGAGAAGTCAAGTCACATGAAGTAAGACATGCGCAGAGGTCTTGTCTATACTGTACACGTGATACTTCGTAGAGGAAACGGGTCAAGGTAGGGGTGTAAAACAGTTGATCTCAAATGCCATGACCATGACTGTCCAGGATCCTGTGTGGTTTTGATTTGTTTGCATGTTCTTGCTGTAATTTGGTTCATTTTACCGCTGTTTTTGGGGTTCGAGCCGCTCTTAAGGCATTACATGCGGCACTCTCTTACTCCACTATTAAAAAAATGCACCACTCGCCCTCGGACTCCGCCAGGGGAGCGAACCAGAGAGGGTAACGATTTGTATCACGAGATGATGGCCAGTGGTGCATCTTGACGGGAGAACCTTACGTCGCGTGATGTCGTTTGCGCGTGATGACGTGGTTTGAGCGGTGGTCTTCGAAACTCACCGCGAGTTTCGCAGGGGGGCATGACCTATAGAAGCAAAGCTGGTGTTTGAGCGGTGGGAAGGTCAAACGTCACCAGCTCGGAAAACGAGGGCAATTGCTGACTTGTCTGCAGTGTTTGTTATGACTGGGAAAGGAAGACAGAACCTGGTAGACTCATCGCTCGGACGGTACAGAACTGGTAGACATGGCTGAGTGCTCATGGGTGTGTGTTTTTTTTGTAGTAAATCCGGCAGATTCCCTTTCTCATTCCGCTGGGAATGTTTGGGTCTATGTTCAACCGAACCCAGGGTGTCGGTGGAACACCGGGGGTTCGGTCGACCACACGACCGCCCGGACCTCGTTTGGGGAGCGCCGTGACTTGCTGGTAGAAGATTCATCCCTCTTCGGGGTCCCGGTGACCTGGTGGTGAGTTTCTAAGGATCAAATTGACTTTGTAATGACAAGGGTCAACATGACTATGAGATCTTGGTGAGTCAAATAGGGTTCCTTTGACAAAAAAGGCCAGCTCTGTTGGCATTGGAGATTATTCTGGCCCAGATTACTCCTTGAAGGGACTTCCGAAACATGTTTTTCCTGCATCTTCGTGGTGCCCCTGGCTCCAACTGCACAATTGTGTGGTCCAGCATTAGCTGTTGAACCTCATGTTCTCATCCTATATCGATCATGATCCGATCATAATTCATGATCCAAATCGCGATACAATACATGTCTATCAGCATGTCAGATGCGCCAATTTCCTTCATGACCACGTACAATGGGAAAAGGCTGATTCACGGGTGAAGTCCGCTTCAGCGCATGCATGTCTCATCATGTCTCGTTTGGTCACTGGACTTGACCAACTGTAGCGACCCTGCGACCTGCCATGGGCGCGGGAAAGGACGTGTGCCATGTGATCAAGACCTATTGGTCACTACTGCTGGGGAATCTGCTGGAGTGGTATGAGTTTTGTTTGTTCAGCTTTCTAGAACCCTACTTCGAGGCCTGGGGAAATGCTTGACGTCCGAGTTTGTGACATGTCGGATATCAGTTGTGTGACATGGTCCTCCATATATGAATCAGATTTGCAGGAGGTTTGCCCGGATTTCGATTGGTCGAATCACGAATCAGAAGCCAAGATGCCTTCAGAAACTTCAAGACTCACCGAAATGGTCAAGATATGTCAAGCATACACTCCCCGGAATCATCATGGCTCATCATGGAAGGGGAGTTCAACACTCCGGTGGCGTCTTCGGACTGTCATCCGAGTCTTCCCGGCCCCATGCCACCGGTCACCATGATGACAAGGAGCGTCAAGTTGGGGTCATCGATTTGGGAACGGCCATCCATGTGGGGCCGAAAAGATGGCGCTAAGCGCCATGACACGGCCAACTGGCAACTTGATGCCAACTTGATGATAAGTTGATGCCCACGGCATGGAGCCACATGAGATGTGAAGTTGGACGTCAGGCGAACTTCTTCCAGGGCTCGGCGCTGGCGGCCTGGTTGGGCTCCTTGGCGAGAGCAACATGAGCAGCTCAGCCATGCCTGGTTGGGCTTCGCCATGTGCGCGGGTGGTATTTTGATGTTCCCGAACTGGGTAAAAGGTTCTTCTGGCGACTAGGTTCCATTTTTTCTTGACTTCCAAACAACCAAGCGGACTGGATGGTGACCTGGTGATTGACAGCCATCCAGTATGTTCGAGATTACAACCAGGTGAACTGCCCATAGCCCCCCATTTCTGTGGGTTGGTTTTTTCCCACCAAAAATACCTGACATGGTCAACCTACCATCGTGGAACGGGCAACCCGGGGTTTGACCCATAATTACCCATATGATCTCATATGCTTGTAGGTGGCTCTGATTCTCTGGACCACCTGGGCAGCACCTGGCCGTAGCCCATCAAAGCTCTGAAGCTTCTCGACATGGTTTCTCCAGGAGTCACAAAGGGGTGGTTTTTACAGTGGTTTCTAATTGATCGTTAAGTGAGTGGATGTGACATGATGTGACTTTTGGGAACCCCGACTTCTTCCCTTCGTTCGGCGCCCAGCGAAAAAAAAAATGGAACTAACATGGAACATCATGGAACTGGTTTTCAGAGCCACACACTTATAAGAGCTGAGATCGCTTAACCCCTCAGAGATGTGATTGTTTGTTCAATTACGCTAGTCCAAAATAACGCGCTGCTCGACCTGCTGCAGAACGGAGCTTGCTCCACTCATCGGTCGAGCATCGGTCGTGCACGGCGAGAGCTTGGTGAGCGGAGCTGCGCGGGGAAGACACGCAGCGCCGGGTTGCGGGTTGGGGGGAGGCCAACGGAAGAACAGAACGCCAACTGATGATGGGGAAGACATGGTAAACTCTTTCTTCAACCATAACTCTTGAAATGTAAACTCTTGATGGTTTGGCCAACTCTAAACATGTAAACTCTTGATATAACTCTTGCAATATGTTGCAATTCTATTTCAATCCCCCCAGCCTGAAGAGGTTTTCCATGTTTGGGTGGGGTGATGCATCAGGAGTCTACATTAGGAATCTGGAAGAATCTGGTGATGCTTCGATCTGAATCTGAAATGGCTCCCCAAACCGCACGCCAAGCGATATGTAAAGGACAGCACGAAGCCTTCCCCAGCCAATGCCTCAAAAACTGAACCCAGCGACCCAGGGCATTGCGTGGAACATGGACCGCTTGTGAAGGAACATGGTCTTGAAGTCTTGAACATGGACCATGTTCCATGATTTCAGGACCAGTGGTCTACGGTCGCCGTTGGGCTTACTTGGCCGATCGGGGCGCCCGTACGTTGCTGCTCTCCCCGTTACGTCTCTCCGGTTGTCCGGGACGTCCGTGCGAAGACCCTCCAGGCTTCGCGATCACATTCGTGGCCCGACCCTTTGGTGGCGTGGCGCTGGGCCTGGTGGGCGATGTCTTGGGACGCAAAGTCTCCACCTTCTTGTCGATCTTCGGGATGCTGTGCGGCACCGTGGTGGGAGCGAGGTCGCGAGGTCGCGAGGTCGCCAGGTGTTTGTGGTGGTTCGATTTCTTTGGCTTTTTTGGGGGGGGGTTGTTGGAAAAGACAGGGGCATGGGGGCATGGCAACTGTGGCCGGAACCAGAAATGAGTCTGGGAAACTTAATTACTACTGTAAAGGATTTTCTCGTGTGGGTGGGCCAGAAGCTGGATGGGTGGGTTGATGGGCTCAAAGTAGAGGTTTCTTCTTTCAGTGTCTCTTTGCTTTGATCATTTTTGATCAAAGGTAGAAATAGATGTGGAAACCATCTTGGAAGCATGACCATCCTTTTTCCCAAACACCCTTGCCTCTGCCGATGAGACGCGAGACTAGATCCACTGGTCCACCGAGATGGGGATGGTTTTGAGGTCCAGGTGTTTCTCCATCAACAGTAGCGGCCTGGAGTCGCCGATGCACTCCGGCATGACCCAGCAGCCACCGGTGCTTTTCCGCAGCTTTTGTGGAAGGGAAAACCATCACTTATTTTTGGAGGCCCAGCTCTTACTGTAAGAAACCCCCTTCTCAAAGTCCTATCCAACCACTGTCCTCAGGTACTGTACTTCAAGGAGTTCTTCCAACCTACAAGAACGGCCACGTTGCAGGCAAGGGGGCCGAGGGGCTCAGGACACATCCCTTAACAACACTGGTTCATGGCCAGCGACTGAAACCCAGTTTCCCTCCATCTTGAGCCATCTTCAGCCATCCTGCCACAATGATCAACAAAGCGGTTTCGGTTTCTGGTTCGGAACGAGCTTTCTGGGTTGGAATTGGCACCAGATGGCATGCCGGCTCATGTAATTGCTCGATCCACTGGGAGTGGTATGGCGTGGTACAAGATGGTACAAGCATGCTAGTCTGGCACCATGGTCATAGTTTAAGTGTATTGGAGGATGACTACAGCCTTCCATTCACGCAACCTGGACAAAAAGGGGAAGACTCGTGTTGTACAGGAACTAACACGGCACTGGACAACTTGACAAACTGCGGCAGCAGAACATAGTAGAGCAAACTAGCCACTGGATCCTTCCATATTTTGGACTTGAAGACCAAGTGCTTCGTAGCATCAATATGATCAGCTGCGCCTTTGCCTTCTCTCTGAATCATATATTCTTTCCTATCTACTGTATCTTCCAGGCATTGCAAGGAGCCCTTGAACGAGTGAACACAGACTTTTTTGCCACCTCAAAACAGGAAGGCATGGGATATTCAATGAATTTCAATGATATGCCGTCCATTTGGCTTCTTTGGATGATGCCGCATCTCCCTTCTTCCCCGCCTCGTTCGTTGCTTCCGCATCGAAATCCGCATCTTTGCCGTCCAGGGACCCTGGGCCTCAGCGTGCTGATCCTTCTGCGCTTGCTGCAGGGCGTGTGCACCGGGGGCGAAATCGCCGCGGTGACCACCTACCTCACCGAGATCGGCGAGCCCCGCGACCCGGCGGATTTCTCGCCGCGATGGTCCGACCGGTGTTTGAGGAAGAGGGAACGGAGGGGTGCCGGGGTCTGGTGAAGATGTTGCCTGTTGCTGAGGCAAACCCCAAAAGATCCCAAGCGACTGGAATGATGGACGAGTCGAATCCATTTGCTTGAAGAACGAGATTGTTGCTCAGGAGAGGAAGATAGGACTGTCAGTTTCTAAATGAGATGAAAGTTTGAAATATGTGTGCATGAATCTGTGACGCAACGTGCAGGCACACATTGTTTTGGGGCAAGTCCTTGTGGGACGATATAAGCCGGTTTGTAGATGTCAATTTGTACCGCTGTAAGACTGTAATGTGCTTGGGTAAACTTGCGCTACCTTGGACCAACGTTGACCATGTATGTAGTATGTAAAACACATTCAGGTATTGCAGTTTGGTCAGTGTCAATGATTCGGCCAAAACTATCCAACAGAAAGGTTGAAACTACAACATGCAGCAACTCAGCAGGCTTTAG